TGTCTTCCATACGATTAATTTATCTAGAAAAATGTAAAATTCATAACTTCTTAATCAATTGTTAGTAATTTTTTTTTTAAAAAAATATATATATATTTATAAATTACCAACTAAAAAATATTAAATATTTTAATATATTATTATTAAAATAATACACCCTAAATAATAAAATGTCTTTATTGGTAATTTACAATGTCAAACAGCTATAAACTTTCAGCTATTTACCAAACACTTATTTGAAAACCGCTAATGGAATCCGCTAGTCAAATCAGCTAATATAATCCGCTATCCACTATCCGCTAATACAATCCGCTATCCGCTATCCGCTATCCGCTCATCACCAAACAAGGCCATTTACTAAACATGCTCAATAGCGGATTTGACGGATGAAACATCTCAATTAAGTCCAATCCGCTAATTTATCTTCAATCCGCTATCTTACAAACGGGGCCATAGGGGAGATAATAGAGTTTATATATAGATAAGAGAGATATGGATTAATATCTTTAAGAAAAAAAAGAAATAAAAATAAAAATAAAAAGTGTCTTAAGGAATACACAAGTAAAAGTTAATCTTCTAAAATCCTGTGTCCAGCCCCGCCAGCCGGTCACTCCTAAAATCCCTCCACTCATCATGTCCGTCACCGCCGGCAACACCTGCGCCACCTGCTACTCTTGTTATAAGTCCAGACCTAACGCCAAACCCCTCTTTCCCTCTAACACACGCCACAACTCTCAATTTTCATTACCCCTATCATTCGCGTCAATAAATTCTTCGCATTCTCGCGCAATTGTAGCCAAAGCGCTGTCGGGTGGTGATAAGAACAAAACTTCATCCAATCACAAGGAGCAACTTGTGGAGGAGGAAGTAGAAGTAGAGGAAGACTTGCCATGGATACAGGAGAAAGCGCTGGATTTGGTCGAGTTCACGGGCTCCGTCACGCAGGCAATCCCAGGGCCCCGAGTGGGCCGGAGCAAGTTGCCCTGGGTTCTTGCGGTCCCCTTGGCTTATCTGGGCATCACATTCGTCATGGCATTTGTTAAGACCGTCCGCAAGTTTAGTTCTCCCAGGGAAAAACGCCGCAAACTGGTTTGTTTTATTATTATTATTTTTTTTTTTTGGTCTCATTTTTTTTAGGTTACACCTAGTCTTGCTGCTTTGCGATTTCAAGTGTGATTGCTTATCTCGGTAATGGAGAAGAAATGCATTGTGTTACCAGTATATCTATTCCGTAACAATTATGTTGCTTCTATGATGGTAAATGGGAATGAGGACTGAGATGTGTGAAATGGGAAATGCATATATAATCCTAATCGGAAGCTCTGTTCACTTGCAAGCATCACTTTTGTTTCAAGTAGAACGTCCTTAAGATTTATCAAAAATCCATATTATGCCAAAGCAGTGTTAACAATTGCGGATGGCAGAAAATGGTGGCAGGCTGAAATCCCTCTATGGTGGGCTGGTGCAGCCATAACCGCCATCCTTAAAAGATGGTGTTTAGGCTGAAATACGCCATGCTGTATCACGATGGTGGAAATTTGAGAACACTGTGAAAGTAACTGCTGTCAAAATCAAACTCAATGGTTTTTTGTCCAGATGGTTTCTATCGGAAGGTGGGTGCAATACCTGGCACTAATGCATATGCAGATGAAGAAAATTAGAGTAACACCAAACATTGTCACTCCGGCCATCTTGTCTTCCGAATTGGTGGATAAAGGCAAATGTTAAGTGTGAAAGCTACTTGGACAATCCGAATAATCGTTGAAGCATAAAGTGAAAATATTAGTATCTTGACTACTTTTATTGTCACAGAAAAAATAGTAAGATACAACTTGTATGAGTTGTATGAGCCTGTACATTCGTGTATGAGCCAGATAGAGGCCTTGTACAAGTTTAATGCAAATAAATATGTACTTCCCTTGTTTTGTTTTACAAATCTATTTGATTGCTCTCAATGTTTCTTGTTTTATTTAGTGAAAATTTGATTTTCTTTTTCTTTTTTTAGATATATTATAAATTTGCTCGTACATATCCAGTCGTGTGATGGGAATTCATGGGAGTGATAAAATGTGAATTTCCTCCTATGTTTTTCTATTCAACATGGATTGGCATGATGCTTTACTTCCATATAGTTATGTATGGATGCTAGTCGATGCCTCTTTGGAATGTGTATCTAGGTCCATTAACCACTTGTAGTATTTTTGTGCCGAGTTCCCCTTATGAGTATGTTGGGTATTGAAACATGTTTGGCATATCAATTTAAATAAATATTTGTTACTTATCTCATCCTATTATTGTGGTTTTACCAAACCTTGAACTCTATAAAATTTTTATATTAGATGACCTTTGTGTGTTATTTGTGGGTTATTCAGGTCAATAAAAATGCCATTCTCTGCAAATCTATAGATGAGCTCTTTGAGAAGGGAATGGATGAAGTAGACCAATCCACTTTAAAGGGACTGGTGCAGAAGGTAAGTTGCCCTTATTTTGTTGACACGGCCTTAGATCTTAGTATTTTACAAATTCAACTGGCTTCCAAATAGGCAATTAATATGTTGGCCGGGTAGAATCAATAGGGTCATGCCACTGAGTTGTGTCTGAAGACTCTATGAGTGAACTGCTCAATTAACCAATCAATATCTGTTGGGAACCTTTGATTTAAAAGTAACTTTTTCCTTGTAAATCAGGTTGCAGAATTTCATTCCTTTTTAAGTTGAAGAAGCAATTGGGAATATTTTAGACTCTTCATGTAGTGCACTCTACTTATAATCTGGGTTCTGGGATGATGAAATTAATCTTTAAGCATTTTATCTAGGGAGGGCGCGAATCTTATGAAAAATTTGTTTATTCCTCTTTCTAAATTGGGGAAAACACTCTGAGGGAAAAATAAATGGTTTTCTTGCATAATGCCCATATTCCTGAATAGGTCAATAAAGCATATTTTATCAATTGATTGTTCATTTAGCCAAAAAACAAATACAATATAAATTTATGGTAATGTTAAATGCACCATCTATTTTGTTTTATTTAAGCATATTATGCGCATTATTGTTGTAGGAGTATCTGTATCTTGACATTATGCGCTTTATTGTTGTATGAGTATCTGTATCTTGCACACTGAGCTAGGAGTTCAATATCAGTTACGTGGATTGCATCAAATATGGAAAATTTATCTGGAATTTTTTGCACACATACATACATAAATGAATGGGAATAACCAATACTTGGTCACTGAGGAATTACTTATATTTGAGGAATTCTTGTAATGCAACCTCAAAAGTGACTGAGAAAAGATTATTTACGTATAAAGTACATGAGTATTTATATATACATGAAGTAGGGATCAAGCTAAATACTACAGTAGTGATGACTATAATATCCTAAGCCACATCCATAACACTTCTTACTTCCTTGTTGGACCCTCTAACAAAAAGATACAGGAATACCTAAATGAAGGCCATTGCCATTTTCAAGCCAAAATTTACATAAGGAGGAAATAACTAAAGAGGAGTAAGAAAGAAATAAGGAGGACGAGTAGGAAAGAAATAAGGAGGAAGAAATAAGTCCTTGCTGTTAAGGTAAGGACTTCGGGCATGGCCAACTTCCATAGTGTGACAGGCTGTGTGTACAAGGCCCGAGAACGATTTCACCGCCGTATGGCTGACCGGAGATTACTAGTGATTCCGGCTTCATGCAGGTGAGTTGAAGCCTGCATTCCAGCTTCATGCAGGCGGGATCGCAACCCTTTTTCCTGTCCATTGTAGCACGCGTGTCGCCCTTTATGACCCTGGCCTGTAAATGGGCCTTTATGGGCTTCTAAATTATCTTTTAGCCCATATGACCGATGCCCCAGTTAGCTTGCTAACTTTCTTCTCTCACTGGGCTTAGGAGAGAGAATTGGTCTTGCACTTTCACTTTCACTTTCACTTTCAGACCGGTCCTAACTAAAGAGAACTGGCAACCTTCACTCCCCCTTGAAAGAGTTGGCCTAAGGTAAGGCTTAACAGAAATTGGCTAACTTTGGCTAAGAGAAGGTACGATCCAAGTTTCGAGCTCCGCCACTATCCCTAAATAAATCTGCTAATAATGCTTGCGCCTTGATAGCTCGTTTGGGCTCGAAATCAACTTTGTATTCCCCTAACTCAACCGCCCATTTCAGAATCCTACCCGAACAAGAAGGTCTGCTTTAGAGGGAAGTTTGTAAGGTCTCAAATTTCGAGCTGTAATGCGTTGCTTTCTCGATCTCAGTGTATTTAGCCTCTCCCCTTAGAGTGCTCACATAAAATAGGTCACTGCTTTCCTAAGATCGAGCTACTAGCTACTTTACCCACAGATAAGTATAGAATTAGGAAGTCCGTTAGTTCTTGATTGGTAAGTAGTGGTAGTTCGACCAGGAACTCCTTTAACCTAACAAAGGCCTCATGGGCTTGCATAGACAATTCAAACCTGGACCCCTTCTTAGGAGCTCGAAAAAATGAGAAGCTCCTCTCCGCTACGTGAGCTATGAAACGACTTAAGCCTACCGAGCGACCAATTAGAATTTGAACCTCCCTAATGTTCCTCGGCGGCTGCATTTCTAACACCGCTCTAACCTTCTCTGGGTTAAGCTCAAATCCCCGCTTTGTGACCATGTAACCCAGAAACTTTCAATACTTCACCACGAATTTGCAATTCGCTGGATTAAGCTTCATCACACCTCCTCAAGGTATCGAATGTTTCTCTGATAGAGATGCAGAAAAAAAGGTTGAAAAACAATGGATTGTCTACTCAAGGAAAGGAAAAGATGGAAAGGATTAAATGAAACATGGGAAGCCTGAATTAGGGTATTTAAATGGATTCTTGGGATCCTGGACATTTGAGAATGAGAAGATATTAATTAGTTATCCTACCATATATTTATTATCCCATTACCTTATATAAATAATAATCTTCTTATAAAAGGGAGTTAGGAAGTGAGGATGGGACATCGGGTAGAAATATCTTAATAGCTAGGCTATTGGGCAAGTTATCTTGCTGGGAAGTTTTTATACTTCTGTTATTGTTCTCTCTTTTCATTTATATATTTGTCTGTCCATTCCTTTACTCCTATCTGTTTCCCTTAGATCCTCAATTTGATCTCCCGCCTTTCTGCTTTTACGAGCTGCCCTCAAACATTTTATCCACCAACTTTTGATTGGTCGCACTCGAACGGCATAACTATAATAGTGGGTTCCCTTCGAGGTAACAAAGCTTACCCCTTTTTGATCATCAGGTACTTAGTGGTACCCATGCGAAATGTCCATCATGCTCAAGAGCTCGCAGTCGACTGTCGAATCTACCAACTGATCAATACGCGACAACGGTAGTGGTCCCTTGGGCATGCTTTGCTTAGATCTCTGAAATCGGTACACATACGCCACTTGTCCTCCGCCATTTTCACCGTATTTGACAGCCACTCAGGAAGCTAAACTGAATAGGTCTAATGTGACCTGATTGCAGCTACTTCTCACACTCCTTCTCAATTATCGCATCTAGATAAAATCCAAATGTTGTCTCTTTTGCTTTGACAAGCTTTAGCTTATTATCCACATTCAGTTTGTGTTCGCCAGTTCTAGAATCGATCCCAACTAGCTCTAGCTCCTCCGCTGAGAACGCGAAGGCATCAACGTAATTCCTTAATAAGCTTATCAACTCAACCTTTATGTCCTTAGCCAGTGCTCTCCCCACCTTTGTAGCATGTTCTAACAACTCGCTAGTCACTGGTGACCTCCCCCACAAGGTCTCCCACCGAAAACTTCATCTTCATACAATACGTCGACATCGCAACCTCGAAAGAGTTCAAACTTGACCGACCTAAAATGAAATTGCATGTTGAATCTGCCTTCACGAACAAAAACAGCACCATCTTAAACTTCATCAACTGGTAGTTGCACTTCCCTAAAAAATCGTGGCCAAATCATACTCTGCTGTTATCACCAAGGCATCATTATGGGAACCAAAATCCCCTCTGAATCATCAACTCCAAACTTCAACTCTTGCATAGTATGAGCTATTTGTACCCCTGCCACTCTCTTCGAGATGCTTTTGTAATAAGCTTACCTAACATTGTTGTAGTCGCCATCGGTTGGTCCCCACAATCATGTGAATTGCCCCTTTTTAGGGTGGCCTATCCTCTAGAGGAGCTGGCCCTCTCCTTTTAATTCCTACCTCTGTCCTCTTTTTAACGCCTATGGAGTATAATGCTCATACTTAAAACCCATACATCCTTTATCATCGTTCCTAGCATCTCTCCCTCTCGACCTCCTTTCATCCGACCTATGCTTCTCCTCCTGTCTCTTCCCGTTAGCTTGATCATTCTAAAGAAAATCTGCCTCTGTTGTTTCCATGTTCATGTATTTGGTACAACGTTCCAATAGATCGTCGTATGACCTAACTGGCTTCTTGGCTAAAGAATTTCGACAGTGACTTGGCTCAGACCGTAGACCTCCTGCCTTGATCTCCTTCGACGCTGATGGGACCTCCACACAAGCTTGCGCGTACCGAGCTATGTACTCCCTCAAGGATTCATTTTTGCGCTGACAATTGATTGACAAACAAAGAGCCTAACACGTCGAAGCTGTAAATAGGTCCCGCTCGTAGCTCGTGGATACAATCTTGAGCCTAGCCCTTCAAGGTCGTGAAAGAAAGCTTGACAACAAACAACATATCGATGCAAGGCCGACATGCCAAAAGCTCCTTAGGTGCATAGCCGGATCTGAATACCCATCATAAAACATTCTGGGTTGGTAAATCAACGTCCAAGACATCATCACAAAAAGGATGACCCTGCACCTGCGGCTGCCGTCGCCCCTCCACCTTAGCTTGGAGCTCCCTGATCTGATTTGCCATATGCTCTAACATGACGTCTCGCGGTGGACCTCTCCTCACATTTCTTTCGCCTCCTACTTCCGCACACCACCGGCTTAGAGGTCATTGGAATGTGTTGTTCCACCACCAGGGCAAGATGGTGAACCCCTACCCCCGGTTGATTCACCACTGGCTGCTTCACCACCGTTGGTAGCTTCTCTTTCGTTGGTTGAGGCTGTGACATCCTGGACCGGCCGCTCGCTTTCGCGATGATCTGATCCAACTCCCCTCTCGTGAGGTGTATCAACTGCTCGCTGCCCCCCACCGGAGCTCCCTGCTCCGCCACCTGGACAACCACCTCTTTCCCCTTCCCTTAGCAAAAAAAACCCCGATCTATTTCGGGTGTCAAGGCGTGATTCACCCTCGGCAAGCTCATCATCTGAGGGGTAACCAGAGTGCAGAGTGTAGGCCAGAGTGCAGAGCGCCTACACTGGATCATCCCTAAGGTGGGCCTACTCCAAAGGGCGTTCTAGCTACCTAGACCTCCAAACTTTCATCCAAGTTCCTCTCTCAACCTCTCATTCGCCATAGTCGCCTTCTCCATCTAATTTCATTTGCAACAAGTAGAGAAACTGAATAACACCACAAAAGGTGCCAATAGATGTGCAATAGCACCTTGAACCACAATCCCTTGACCGATTGGTTCCGTGGAATTGATGTGCAGTAGCACCTCGAATCGGCTCTCGACAATCCCTTGACCGATTTGCTCCCCGAATACCTGCAAAGATGTCGGGAGATTGACGAGGATCGTGTATTTCCCTAACTCGATTTGCGTCGAAACCCGCGTCGACGCTTTTTTTTTTCTAAGCTATATGTTGCTAATACGTGCGCCAACGTCTTCGTACTTCGAGATGTTAAACCCGAAGGTTGGTTCAATTTCTAACACGATTTTGTATGTAAACTTACACGAATTAACACACGAGATTGGTGATCGAATCGATCGATTTTCTTATTTCTTTAATCCATGATATAAAAAAAGGTGAGTACATAGGCTTATTTATAGGAGAGAAAATACTAACCTATGGGAAATAAAATACTAATCATAAGAGGAATCAAAACAAAATTCTAAAGGAAATAATAAATCGAGAATCATATGATTTACCAAATAACTATTTAAATATCCTAACACTCTAAATAAATCCTAACAATCTAAAACCTGCCAACTAAATAAGTCACGCCCAAACTAATAAAACTAATTAATACTAAACTAACAATAGCCTAACACTAACTCACTCACGTCTGCCACTTAACCAAACATAATAAACTACTAACAAAACTTATAAATATCCTAAATAATTAAATAATATAACCACTTGCTAATAATTGAACTACTACCCTAATTGAATAATAATTAATTTAACACTAATCTTCTAGAAATTATCGGCCATCAAGTACTTTTAGAAATTTTGTTCAATCTTGCCCGTCAAGTCACGCCGACCATCCTCGCGTCCCAAACATCGTCGACCAATGGCTGCTCGTGCCTTCTAGATGTTGTTTTGGGCCCTCATGTAGTATTTTCGGGTCGTCTGCACTCTCGACCCATTGCGTCCTTGGAGGTCCAAACTCTATCTTCAGATGTTCCCGGCATTAAACCTCCGACGATCAGTAAGGTGATATGAAAAGTTGTATGAAAATACTGAAAGCTTAGAGTATATAAAATGTGATTAGTCTTACCTTTTCTCAATTCTACCTATTTATAAAAGATTATTAGCTTCCTAAACATGCATCTGGATTCTGTTCTGCCCCTAGAAAGGGCTACCCGTCAATTACTAGGCTACCCTACACGTGTCCCTTGTTAACATTCTGGACTCGACCCAGGTCGATCCGCTTCCTATTCGAGTCAGTTACCGTGCTATTATGTCCGAGCTATCAAATGTCCGAGCTATCGTATGTCCAAGCTGTTAGATGTCTGAGTTGTCATATGTCGAGCTCCTTAATGTCTGAGCTATCTTATGTATCTAACTTCTATGCCGAGCTATAGACATACCTTTAAATATCCGAGCTACCTGAGCCCTTATTACTTCTAAACCAACTGGCCTAGCTAATCTTCGGTTTACAAACTGAGCTAATCGTGACTTGTTCAATCGAGCTATCTTTACGTGCTATATCACTAGCTTCCAAATAGGCAGGCGGGGTAAAATCAATAGGGTCTTGCCACTGAGTTGTGTCCGAAGACTATGAGTGAACTGCTCAATTTACCAACCAATATCTGTTGGGAACCTTTGATTTAAAAGTAAGTTTTTCCTTGTCAATTCAGGTTGCAGAATTTGATACCTTTTTAAGTTGAAGATGCAATTGGGAATATGTTTTAGACTCTTCATGTAGTGCACCCTACTTACTATCTGGGTTTTGGGATGATGAATTAATCTTTGAGCATTTTATCTAGGGAGTGCGCGAATCTTATGACAAATTTGTTTATTCCTCTATCTAATTTGGGGAAAACACTCCTGAGGGAAAAATAAATGGTTTTCTTGTATAATGCCCACATTTTTAAATAAGTCAATAAAGCATATTTTATCAATTGATTGTTCATTTAGCCAAAAAAAAAAAAAAGTTACAATATAAATTTATGTTAATGTTAAATGAACCATCTATTTTGTTTTATTTAATGCTTTTATGCTTTATTGTTGTATGAGTATATGTACCTTGCACTGAGCTAGAATTCAATATCAGTTACGTGGATCGCATCAAATATGGAAATTTGTCTGGAACACATACATACATACATGAATGGGAATAATCAATATTTGGTCACTGAGGAATTACTTATCTTTGAGAAATTCTTGTAATGCAACCTCAAAAATTCTATATGTATTAAACTGATATTTTATCTGCCAGTAAAAGATAGAGAAAGGATTATTTACGTACAACGTACACAGCATTGCGGTCCTAACCCCTAAATATGTAAGTTCTGGCTTGAGAATGGCAATGGCCTTCATTCTTTAGAAGTAGGTATTCCTGTATCTTTTTGTTAGAGGGTCCAACAAGGAAGAAGGAAGTGTTATGGATGTGGCTTAGGATATTATAGTCATATTTAGCTTGATCCCTACTTCAGGTATATAGAAATATTCCTGTCTTGCGAATTTATGCCTGTGCTACTTGGTATTGGCTGATATTAAATATGATTCCTTCTTTTTGTTAAGATTGCAAACGGCTGCCCTCTGCTTAAGTTCATCGAAAAATCATAACTCTTTCAAACAATTGATTTGGACACATTGTTGTATTTTCAGACAGGTTTTGACATGGAGGAAATTTTACGAAAATATATTCGTTATGCATTAAACGAGAAGCCGTTTACTCCAGATTTGGTATCTAATTTGATCCAGCTCAGAAAAAAATCACTGTTAGATGACTCCCAGGTAGCTGGAATCCTGAATGAGATCTCAAGAAGGATTGTGAAGGACAAAGGTACCTGAATACTGCATCAGTTTGTTGCAATTTTTGGTTGAAGCCGTCCTCTTTGTCTGACTTGAAATGATTACTTGAAATGATTACTGATTCAGAAAAAAAATATACTTGCAGTGGTTGCTCTGCAATTCAATATGATAAAAGTAGACTTGCAAACCAAGTAATATGAATTTATGAACTATCAAATCAACTTTGAATGAGTATGCATCCTTACCACTTTTATGTACTCTACTTGGATTCACGGAGGTTGAAGTAAAGATTTATCTATGCTTTGGCTTTTTAAAATGGTTGAAAGATAAGATTATGCCAAGTATTTGAAAGGAACCAAGAGGACAGGCACATACATGTTTGCAGCCATATTTTTAACTAGGATCATGGATCCATTTTTCAGGTCCAGTGGTCATGGATATGTCAGGATATTCAGAAAAAGGTTTCAAAAGAAAACTTGCTGTGCAAACTCTTTTTGGAAAGGTGTATTATCTTTCTGAGGTGCGCTTGTGCTCTGCTTGTGGTAGAATGCAAAACAATTTTTTTCCTCTTATTTTCAATGCTGTGATTTCGAGACATTGTTACTGAAAGTTGAACGTTATGCCCGTTAAAGTTATCAATAGTAAATTCAGTGTTTAGCAAACTGTTCAGTACACTGAAATTGACTGGCATTTGTGCATTTGTAATGTATTTTTTAAATTGATGTAAAGTGATTGGTGTACTCTTGTTGACTTTCAAGAAGATATCAGTTCTCGTCAGGCCTCAAATTACGTCCATATCCTGAGACTTTATTTTCTGGATATAAGGCTAGTCATGAAAATGAATGGGTTTTCTATTTAAATTTCCACAGGGATAAGTCATGAAGTGGCCATCCTGTTAAAGTAACATTGAACTTTGATCCTTACTGGCACCAAGTTCGAAAACCAACATTTTATTTTGATCATGTTCAATGAGTTAGCATCGGGGCGATGTTTCTTTTTACTGAGTTTCCAAGTTTTTGAGTAAAATTTTGTGGGTTCCGTTATCTCATCTCTTTCTTCTGTCAAGTTGGGCTTTTAAAAGAATCATTGCACCTGTGTTGCCTAGTTTTAGCGTAGAATATTTTGTTATTCTCATAAACTGTGGCATTTCTAAGAGATGTGGTGATTATTAAGTACCATAAATAAACCATGCAACTCTTATTTTGTTTGTGATGGAGCAGCTGCCTGAGTTATGTTCAAAAGACAGCTCTCTAACTGTCAAAGAGATATTTGGGGTAGCAGAGTAAGTGCACTATATATTTTGAGCTTTTCGCTATCTCGTTCAGTCATTGTACTCGGTCACAACTGACAAAGTCCTTGAATTTACACCTTTGCCAGCGAAGATGCCGAGAAGCTTAGACTCCATACTGTTTCAAAAGCCGGGGATTTCGATTCACTAGAGAAAATGGTCTCGGATTCAGAGGAATCGAATGATGAATCATCAAATGTCTCTTGATTTTCTACCATGACAATTTTGTCAAATATTCTTTTTGTTTCTCTTTGTTCCATCTGTTTGAATTATTGCCCTTGCTGGAGGATCACAAGGTGTGTGCGGAGCTTAATGGATTTTTTTATTTAAATAAAAAAAATAAGTTGACAAAAACAAAGAAAAAAAGGAGTGGACAAAAATAAAAAAGCACGTATTACGAGAATACGTTTTACAGTATAAAACTTATTCTCTTAATACGCTTTACAGTGAAGTAAGTGAAATAAAATTAGTAACGTGATTAACTTAATCTATATAAATATAAAAAGGTTTGAGATTTATCGGAAAAAGTAACTATTTTCTCGCCTAAAGAATTCAGTTTTACTTTTTTTAGTAAATATTTTGGAAACGTCCGCCCTTTTTTAGAAATTCAAAACGAAATTTATTATATTCAATAGTAGGTGATTGTTTGGAAATAATGGAAGTAATCCGACGATTTCTTATTTGGAAATGTAATCTTCGCCTTATTTAATTTATAAACAATAGGGCGATTGTATGCAAATAATGATGCAATTGCACGGAAATTTTGCTTTACTTTCAACCAAATATTGGGTGTGTTATAATATAGATTGACAATATGTAAAATCTATGTGTAAAATAGACAAAGATAGAAACAGTAGAAGAATAAGAGAATAAGAGAGAAGAGATACGCCGTCAAAAACCATCATCTTATTCATTCACTTGAGCCCTATATATAAGGGAATATAATGTACATGAGTAAATACCTAATGGGCTCCTGGCCCATGCCTACAAATCCTATATCTAGGTAATGTCCACAACTTAATATTTACAACACTCCCCCTTGGACATTACCGCATCATGTCCATGCCTCGTTAAAAACCAAAATACAAAACCCAGTGGGAAAAAATAGTCGAGGAAAAGAGTACATGACACATGCAAATTTATGTGTTACACTTGTTGCCTCGTTAAAAACCTTACTAAGTAAAACCC